TCACTTTTATGAAGTTTTTCCAAAGCAATGTTAAGAAAATCAACAGGAAGATGGCTAGGGTCCCTGAAAGGCTTTTCACAACTCCATTCCCCAACAAAGGATTGAGTAAAGAACAATTCTGAAATACCAAGTACTAGTAACTCTTAAGAAGAGATCTGTATACCAAAGTAGAACTTTAGAACTTTATGAAGGGGTTAGAAACCTGAGGTGATGTGGGAAACCCCGGCTGATTTTCATTGGAAATTAGCTAATAGGCTATTAGATTAGGGCTTTCTTCCCTTGCTCCTGTATCATAAAAGGAAAGATAACAAAAGTTACAGCAATGTTTTCTCATGCTTAATCACCACCACTACCAAAAAACAAAACAAAACAAAACAAAACAAAAACAAGTTTGCAGAAGCCCAAGGAAAGAGTAGACTCAAACTACAAATACCTTGGCAAACAATCATCCAACACTATTCTGACCTTAATTTCAACTGTATCAAGTTGCCTGTATCAGAATGCTGGGATGGTTTAGTTAACCTAAGGTCGAATGCAGAACCAGGTTAAGAGGCCAAATGGTAGATGATCTGGTAGAAATGAGATCACTTGGCAATAAGATCAATTTATAAAGCATAAATGGTGATTCGAAATACAAGCAATAGCAGTGTAGTCTTTTTTTTTTTTTTTAACTCTTTGTTAATCCCTCAAATAGATCTTTGAGACCACAATTGAAAAAAAGTGCCCTGCCAAGCGTTGGCTCACGTGTCTACGGCAATCCTGACTCATCTAAAGTGATCCCACATGCTGACATACACACTCACAACTTGTGTTTACAGTAACACTATTAGATCCAGACTAGATAGTACACTGGACTCATGATGCAAAAATGTATCCTTGGCTTTAGGAAATTAACATCAAAATCAGTAGAAACATCACATGAAACCAGTAATTTCTGTTGAGAGTTCCACTTGAGCACAAGATTTGATTTGCCACCATTAAGCAGAATTATGTTTAGAAGTATGCTGGCTATTCCAAACGTCCCAGAACTAATGTTTAATATAAACATAATGTAGGTTAAATGAAACAAATGGTCACACAGACCTCACTTTACCTAATTCATAAAATACAGATAAAGTGTATTTGAAGAGAATGAAAACAGAATGTTCCCATTGTTTAGTATTTTCCTGTACAAGTTGAGAACTAAAGAATGACTCTTCTTAGACAATGCCTAATCATTTGAAGGGGAATTCAGAAGAAAAGCGATTTTTAAAATGAGAAAATAAGCCCAAGTGGTACACCTCTCTTTCTCGTCACCATCCAGGACGTGGTGTGTAATGTCACTTCCCTCTCCTGTTATTCCTTACAAGCATTCATCACAGTTAGAGCTGACCGATCTTTAGGTCACCTCTTCAAGGTGTTCTTTCCCTTCTCTGTACTCCACTTAAAGAAAATGTCCTTCCTCATCACTGGCAGGCATACTCAATCATCTCAAGCTAACATTAAAATAATTGTTTTCATAACATTGTTTGTGCTTTGTTATCTGAAATACCAAGACCCATCCATGAACAAAGGAATAGGGCTTTCCAAGGTTATTTACGACTAACACTTCAATACCCTTCTCATTCATTTTTAAGACCACCCTGTTCATGAAATATTCTCCTGAATACTTAATACCCAGTGACTTCAGTACCCAAATTCATATTCAGTGCATTCTCTCATGTACATGAACCCAACATGAAACACATGCATATCCACTGCCCACTCATTCTCACATACAAGCAAGCATACACACACATTTTCTTTCTTTCCAGAACAAGCCAGAATTACAGCTCTTTTGGTGATTGTTAGAATTTTTGGAATGGTTCATAAATTTTCCAAATTATTTTGAATTTGTAATACTTTTATCTTTTTTCTTTTTTTTTTCCAATTGTGAACCATTCCATATTGCATCTTTATTGCAAAAGTCAACATGCTTCTTAGAAATTCAGATTGTAATTGATAAAACAAACATTACATATATGAATTTAAATGTATAAACAGTTAGAAATTCAACAATATCTCCTATTATACTATTACACAAGTTCACAATTTTGTAAAAACTATAATACAGGCATACTATACATCAAGAGGAACCACTATTCCTTTTCACATGATTTTTTTCTTTTTCAAATAATGATCCATCACCATGGACCTACCTATAGCAAGACTGTTGCCCAATTTATCATCATAGCTGCTGACAGTGTTTTCCCAATGTTACAACATGAAGAAATTGAGGGAAATTCTGCCTTCCCTAGGGTCACCTTTTTAAGCCTGGGCAGCAATCCACTAGTAAACCAGGCTAACCCAGCCAGACTGGTGGCTGTTACTGCTCTTCAGCTACTTAGATGGCATCCACATTAAACAGGACAAAATTTGCCTCAGATGCTGTATGTTGTTTCTGTAAGTGAAGATGCCAAGAAAACAAGTCATGGTAGTAACTTACTTTTCAGGGCAATTCTAATGCTTGGGGATTTGAAGGTGGAGGTAAAAACTCCTAAAGGAAAAAAATACACTCAACTATTTTATGCTGACCTTAACTAAATTTCCCAATATTATATTTTACCCATATTTTGAATTCATTTTGGAGAGTCAGACATGTTTTAGAATTCGTAGGACATTTAAAAAGTGTATCAGTCCTATTTTAAGGTGTATCTGAAAACTACCTTTTATAGAAGGGCCTCCAATCTCCCTGGAACAAGGGTCTGCCTATTCTTTACTTGAATGCCCTTCTCTTTCATCCCCTCTCCCCCAGTAACTAAAAAAAGTCAAATCAATCTCCAACTCTCTCTACACCGAGAGTATTATAATACGATGTCAATTCTGAAGTTAAAAAATCATATGAAAAGGAATCTCATTCTGCTGAACTGTCAGTCTACTGAAAATTTTCTTACAGCTCCATTAATTTACTGTAATTTTCAGTTTCCAAATACAAAAATACAACAATTCTTATTGAAATCTATACGCTGGTAGTTTTAGTACACAAAAAAACCAAACAAATTATTTACAAAATTATACAGTTTAAGAAAAAACTTTGTACAAAAAATATATAAATCCTTTGTTCCCTCTATCACGTTTAAACTGTCAGGACTCAAAATATTCACCACAATGAATCTTTCAAAATATATACCGACTGAGCCACAGACATCAAAATTTCATTAGAGATGATGGAGGAGGAAGGAGCAAGATTGCTTATTCTAGGTACCCCATTGTAAGGTTTTCCTTCTTTTATAAGCTTATTTTTTAGCTTCAGTGTTACCAGAAAATATAATAACAACCTAGAAAAAGGAGGTCCTTATTATAGTGAAGGGAAAATTACATGAACTTAAAAATGATCCTGGTTTGATACATCATTCCAGGAAAATACGGAGAAGAGAAAAGGTAATCAGAACGTGGGATTTAACTTCTTAGAGCTACGTAAATCTAGAATCCTGATGGTTTTAGGTTTCTTAGTGAATAGTTTCTATTTTGAGAAACAGCCTTTACCTCAGGATACAATATCCTTGATACAGTGATCACCAAGAACCTTCTGAAGCCAACAGGAAGTTTCAAATTTTCACACCACACATATATAAAAACATAGATGTGCATATCCTTGAAAAAGTGACATCCTATGTACATTAATCACTTTATTTTCCCAGGGGTCAATACAGTGTAGTGTTGCTCCTCTGCTTTTCCATCTAACATTCAGAACACAAGGACATAAATTTACATATATATTTTACTTAACAGATACTCTACTCTATACAGTGTACAGTAAAAATGCACACAGTGAAGGAAACTGTCTATTGAAGGATGCATATGTTCATGGATAGCAACAAGCTACAAAATTATGAAAATATAAAGTCATCTGATCAAAGTCAAGTTATGACTCCCATTTATTACTAGCATACCCATCACCCTACCCCACCCCACCCCCACCCTATCCCCAGTCACCTCACCATCATAGTTTAAATTTAGGAAAAGAATTTCAGACACTTTGTAACCCTCTTTTGTAACTACTAACTAAACTGAAGCTTCAAAAACGAAAAAGGAAAA